TATATAGTTTATGCGGCAGCATGCACTCCAAAAAGTTGTAAGAGAGCTGGGGAGGTGGCTCAGTGGTAGAGCGCTTGCCTTGCATGCCTGAGGCCCTGGGTTCGATTCCTCAGCACCACATAAGCAAAATGAAAAAATCCAGAAGTGGCGCTGTGTTGAGCTGAAGAGCTGAGGGATAGCACCCAGGCCCAGAGTTCAGGCCCCATGACTGGACCCCACCCCAAAAAATGTAAAAACCAAAAAGTTGTAAGAAACTAATAACTAGTAATTGTATTTGGGGAAGGATAGAAACAGGAAGGATGGGGAACAAGACAGAGCATGTAAGAATACAAAGAAAAGCCGGGCGCTGGTGGCTCACGCCTGTCATCCTAGCTACTCAGGAGGCTGAGATCTGAGGATCGCGGTTCAAAGCCAGCCCGGGCAGGAGAGACCGTGAGACTCCTATCTCCAATAAACCACCAGAAAACCGGAAGTGGCACTGTGGCTCAAGTGGTAGAGCGCTCGCCTTGAGCTGAAGAGCTGAGGGACAGCGCCCAGGCCCAGAGTTCAAGCCCCACGACCGACAAAAAAAAAAAAAAAAAAAAAAAGAATACAAAGAAATCAAAACATTTAATGCTCCTGTCTACTGATTATATTATACATAATTATGAATGAAACAGTTTCAAAATTAATGACTGAAACCTAAAATTCATTAAGCACAACTTATTGCCTATCCTTTATTGCTTCGTGGAAAAAATATAGTGTTTGCATGAGCAAAGTTAAGCTATTAATTGTATAAAATTTAGGTTATAAATTGTACTTCATGATATTCACTGTAAGAAATTCTCTATATTCTTTTCATATACTTTATCCATAAAGTAAACTGGCCCAATATTAAGTTTTGCTTTTTGAAAAAGTTTTAGTTCTACCTTTTACTTTCAAAGGACATTTTAAAGAGCCATTTTTAAAAGAAATACGATGGAAATGTTTTGTTTTCCAAACTTAAAGCTCACAAAATATTGTTTCTAATTAACAATGAAGTTACCTCAATCTAGAAGCAACAAAAGACAATTGTTCAAAACAGTTCTATGCTTAGTCAATTACTGTATGCACATTATATAAAAACAGTAAAGGATTGTCAAAGTGCAAGAAAAATTCCTCTGAGAATTCATCTCTGTTTATCTCTACAACTAAGTAGAGACAACTACAGCTACTGGTTCTTAGAGAATCCTCCCTGAAGTGTAAGTGTGATAAGGTGAGGTGTGACCAAAGTCTCCATTACCTCCGTGATATCAGTGAGCCAGTGTGTGCCCGTGTTGAATTAACTAAGGAGTCACTAAAAACTTGCTAGTCAAATTTAAACCTTAAAGTATTGGATCGTCAAATACTGACTCCTAATATGTTTAGTTCTTGGTTTAAAATCTGTCATATTAGCTCGACAAGAAATGACTCATTACCTTACTTGTGTAACTGTAACCCTTCTGTACAGCATATTAGTGCCATATTAGTGTGAAAGAGATGGGTTTAATAGTGCTTAAATAGATTTACATTATGAATGGATTTAATTACTTTTACTTCTTTTTTATTTTTATTTTTTATTTTGGTCCTGGGGCTGGAACTCAGGGCCTGAGTGCTGTCCTTAAGCTTTTGTGCTCAAGGCTAGAGCTCTACCACTTGAGCTCCATTTCTGAATTTTTGGTACTCAATTGGAGACCAGAGTCTCAGGGACTTTCCTACCTGACCTGGCTTTGAACCATGATCCTAAAATCTCAGCCTCTTGAGAAGGTGGGATTACAGGCATGAGCCACTTGTGCCTGGCTTACTTTCATTTCTTTAGAAGAAATATTTGAGTCCTAGAAAGTTGGACTCTGTTCATTTTTATTGTCTCCAAAATTAGTGGGATATAACTATTCCTCCTTGTAGGAGGAATTTTAGTATGCTTTGATCTATCTTGATTTCACAGATGCAGCTTAAAAACCTTAGCAGCTTAAAAACCTTCTCAGCTTAAAAACCTTAGCAGTTTAAAGATATTGGTGTTGGGGCTGGGAAGGTGGCTCAGTGGTAGAGCGCTTGCCTTGCATGCATTAGGCCCTGGGTTCGATTCCTCAGCACCACATAAGCAAAAAGAAAAAAGCCGGAAGTGGTGCTGTGGCTCAAGTGGTAGAGCGCTAACCTTGAGCTGAAGAGCTGAGGGACAGTGCCCAGGCCCAGAGTTCAGGCCCCATGACTGGACCCCCAAAAAATAAAATAAAGATATTGGTGTTTGAATGCAAGGTAACTCAGTATGTTTAAATATTCTATGATCTTGAGTCTGTCCCTAAAAGCTCAGAACATAGTTGAAGTTCAGTTGAATGGATTTCTTTTGTCTATTTGGTCTGCATGCACCACCTAGTGGTAAAACAGTGTATTTTAAATGCGGGGCGGGGGTGGGGGGAGCGGGGGAGAAGGGGAGGAGAGGAGAGAGAAGAGGGAGAAAGAATGTGTGATATAACATGGAAACATAACTTTATATACATATTCTTAAATATTGAATTAGATCTAAATATCTAATAAAGCTCTCAAACATCATTTATATGCCCGCATAGGAAGCAAATGTGAAAAATTCATTTGAAAAGGAAAAGAGCTTTCTCTTACTTACATAAGCTATGAGTCTGATGATTCTAGCCCTAAATTAATATTTAATATTGAAACAATGTCCTGATTGAGGCAAACAACCAAGGTATTTAATTTTCATTTTATTTATTGATTTTTTGTTGATCGTGGGGCTTGAACTCTGGGCCTGGGTATCGTCCCTGAGCTCTTCAGCTCCAGGTGAGCACTCTGCTACTTGAGCTACAGTGTCTGGTGGTTAATTGGAGATAAGAGTCTCACAGACTTTCTTGCCTGGGCTGGCTTTGAACAGTGATCCTCGGATCTTAGCCTCCTGAGTAACTAGGATTATAGGTGTGAGCCACTGGTCCCTGGCTTATGTTTAGTTTTTAATAGTGGTAGTTTTTTTGGGGGGTGGGGTGGGGGAGGAAGGATGTGGTCCCAGGGCTTGAACTCAGGGCCTTGTTGCTGTTCCAGAACTCCCCCCCCCCCCCCCCCCCCCCCCCGCCACTTGAGTAATAGCTCTACTTTTGGCTTTTTGGTGGCTAACTGGAGATAAGAGTCTCACAGTTTCCTGTCCAGGCTGGCTTCAAACCAGGATCCTCAAATCTCAGCCTCCTAAATAGCTAGGATTACAAACTAAAAACCCTATACTGTACGAGCTGTAGTATAAAGTTATAGGACACAGGATTTGGAGGTTACAAAGAAGTATTAATTTTATGAATCTAGCAGCACTGAAACTCAGAATGTAAAGTGACTTGCTCAAGGTCATTCTGGTTATGAGCAGCCCAATTCTAGTTAAAAATAATAATAATAAAAAAAGAACAGAAAAAGGGCTTTTTCACTTTGACACTAAGAAGGCAAAAAAAAAAAAATCTTCCCCATACATTAACGGTCAGCTGTCTCTGTGAAAAGGTATATTCTCAACTCTGTCATGTACTTCTTTAAGATACTGAGATGTGAGTTAATACTTATTGGTAGTTTTGTTCTAACATTCTGAGCACAAAGGAGTTAAGTGAAGAAACATGTATCACAGAGCTGGAAAAGAGTTTCTAACTGTGAAACCCCCAGTTTTATATATATGTTCAAGGAAATGTTTTCACTGTCCATGCAGCTGCTATGCTGTGAAGATCGAACAATTCCCTTTCTTCTTTAACTGCTTCAGAATCAGAGATCTGTTTTTACAAAGCAGATACCCACTTGTAGATTTCAACATAAACCATGACCATAGCTCCCTCTCATGACCAGTGAATATTCTACAGGCGTCTTTTTATTCTCCCTGTTGTACTCGACTAACAGCTCACTGGTTAAGTTTTAATTGCTTCCAATGAGGTCAGCAAAGGTATTTATTGAAAAGCCCTGAATAAAAGGGCTCCACACACACACACACACGCGCGCACACACACACACACATATGCACACACACACACGCACACACACACACAGGCATACACGCGCTCTCACACACAGAGAAAATCCTCTTGCCTCTTGATTTATGGAAACAATTATGATTCTGCTGGAGTATTTCTCAGCTGAGAAATAGTTTGTAGCTACAGCAGAGAGGCTCCAGTTGCACAGGGCAGACAGCAGACATGGAATTCTTGAGTATCCAGCTGTTATAAACAGAACAAGTAAGTTACTGTTATTTGTCTTTAAAACAATGCTGAATTTTTTTTTAAAAAAAGTTTTCTCTCTTTCTCTGGTTTTAGTAATGGGGAAGGAGGGGGGGGGAAGTAAAGTTACTAGAGTTCTGAGCCATGTAAATGTCTAGAGTAGTTCTGTTAAGAACTTATGTAAAGATAAAGTTGATATTCTCCAGAGCAATGTTGACATTTAACTTGAAAAACAACAACAACAAAACGTGAGCAGCTCAGGAGAGGGCAACTGATTAACCAAAAAGGTAAAAGTGGAAAAGAAAGTAATGTAGGGAAAGCATTTATACTTCGTGAATGAAGGTTGTAGATCTGATTAAAATCAATAGCTCTACATGCAGAATGTTTCTTACAAAACTGCAAATAGAATAAATGGTTCCATCAGAATCTGGTTTGTCTACTGATGTATATCTTGCATAAACTTACATCTAGAGTGGAAAGATGCTGACATTCTCTGCAAAAGCTGTACCTTCAGAGTACAAACTGCACTCTATGTCATAATGCTGTGTGTCCACAAAATTTAAACATACATTTTTTTAAATCTTCCTTTTTCTTCCCTTTCCCCATTCTTACCCTCTCAGTGCAAACAGAAGTCAAATAGAGATCAGCATTGCAGCAACTGGCCTTACTACAACATGTTTTTATAAGGATATATGAACAGAGAATTACTTGAGGAGGAATTCGACATTGCCATCAGAAACTAAAAGGATAAGGGTTAATAGTCTGAGAAGAGCAACTACTCTTTTAAATCAATCTAGACGGCTTGCAGAGTGGAAAAGGTCAATGACCTAGGAGTAAGCATCAACTCAAGATTTAATTTTCATTATGTTATTCATGAACACCCGGAGCACTACACTATAATGCACAAATGGGTACTGACATGGATCCTGCCAACTTTGCTCTACAGATCATGCTTCCACATTATCTGTCTAGTGGGCACTATAGCTTTAGCTTGCAATGACATGACTCCAGAGCAAATGGCTACAAACGTGAACTGTTCCAGCCCCGAGCGACATACAAGAAGTTATGATTACATGGAAGGAGGGGATATAAGAGTGAGAAGACTTTTCTGTCGAACACAGTGGTATCTGAGGATTGATAAACGGGGCAAAGTGAAAGGGACCCAAGAGATGAAGAACAATTACAGTAAGTAATGTGTTTTATTTAAGGCACTGCTTGAATGCTGAGAAATCTGTGAAGGGATCCAGGTGGCAGGCTTTTGAAGTTTCCTTTTTCATCAAAAGTACTAAATACAACTATCACCTTCTAATTTTGCTGTACTGGGACTGTCAGACTATGCTCCTAAAAATATCTCTTGGAACAGGACAAACCTGCTAATATTATAGTTGGAACTGATCACCCAGACCAACTGCAATATATGCTCCATGTCCTAAGCTCAAAATACACTTAAGCCAAATGTAAGTGATATTCACACAAAAATGTATACTTTTTTTCTCCCCAGCAAAAATTACTTAGGGGTTCTCATACAGTTCTCAGTCAATTCTCATCCAAACTATGAGTAATCACTAGTTTGAGAAATAAGAATTTATTATTTTTTTAATGTGTCCTTTGAAAGAATAATTCCAGGATGCCTAATATTTTATCTGCATTAAAATATATGTCTTCAGTCATGGGCAGTTATAAAAGAGTGGGGGAGGAGGGGTCTGTGGCCACTACCCATCCATAGCATAATGTGCCTGTAGAAGATTGCTTAAGTACCTAGCGAGGCAGAAAAACATGTTTCTAACATTTTCTTTAAATCTTCTATGCCATCTAAGTTTTTTAAGTTGATTTGAGACGCGTAAGTATGAGGAAACAAAAATCACTTGGAAGATTTGATTCATAATCGAAAACTTTATGCCTTTCCCCAAGCACCAGCTGTTTTTATCACATTAAAATACCAGGACTTGGTTTTTCACTTAATGGTTATGATTAATAACCTATGTCCACAGTGTTAAAGTTAATGGTGTAAAGTATATACTTCAGCATTTACTTTAAGGGTTTAAAATCCCTGTGTGAAAACAAACTTGGTTTCCATCAGTAGTATTTAGACAATGTTAATTGTTGCACATTTTGTAAAATGTGTTAGTGTTGGGCTGGTGGTGCAACCCTTGCCCGGTACAGCACCAGACCTACGGTAATTACTTGAAACTTTGGTTGCCTGCTCATGCTTTTTGGCTTGTAGACTAATTAATCAATGTATAAGAATTTAGGGAGGGGGGAGGTTAGGTTTCTAATATGAAATGGAGACAATTTAACCATAATCAAATACACAATGCTAGGCCCATTTGATAGATTGTACTGCCTTATCATTATTGCTATTTATAGAGGTATCATGTTAATTCTAGAAGATTGCTCTGATTAGACTAGTTTAACTAAGGAAATGGCTATATAGAGAGAAGTTTTAGTTGATAGCCATTTCTATGTGATCAACAGTTTGGTGTGGCGTCAGTTTATTAAAAAAAAAAAAGTCAATGAGATTTATCATGGATGATGAAATCTGGTAGAAAGGCTAGTACCCTGGTGGAATTTATGACATACATGTCCAATCTCTGTGAATGATGGAGGACAATTTCTCAGTTTTCTTAATCTTCAATCTATAAAATATAGGATTTTTTTCCAACATGCCTTCTAATTGTTACAGTCTATTGCACTATAGACCACAGAATATAAGTATGAAGAAATCTTAGAACCTATTAGATAAATGCTGCTTATAATGAATGAAAGTGAATACGAGCTCAGTAAAATGTTCTGTCAACATTTCAAATTGTGGTAGTAAGGTTGTTACACCTAAACTGTAGAAATCTATATTTTGACTAATTTTGGAGGTGGTTTTGCAAAATAATAAGCCACTAAAAGATGTAAAATTTAGTAAAAATCTGTGATTTGAGATAAAAGCATTTGCAATTAGAATGCACAGGAATATACAAGGTTTATTTTTTTGCTAAAATTGCTTAAAACTATGAGACTAAGGTATTTATAAACATACACAAAGTGCTAGAATTGTTCTGTAGGTTGAAACACAATATGTGTATCCATAAAGCCCATCTGGTAAACATTTCTCCTCTAGTAAGAAAGGAAAGAGAAAGGGATCCTATACATTATACACTAGGATGTCACAATACTAATGTACTAAAATATGACAGTATATAAATAATCACCACTATCAAGCTTTATTAAAGTCTCTGTAGATGGGTATTTTTTCTTGCTATGTCAATTCTCATAGAAGGGGAGGCCTTCCCAAGAATACTTCAAATAAATGCTAAAACTGTTGCCAAGTTGAACTGCTATCTTACAGTAAAAGGAGTGAGCAAGGTTTCTCCAAAGTTAAAAAAAAAGAGGGGGCTAAGGCACCTTTGTTCTACAGGAAAGCCTAAGTTGCATAAAAAATACTTCAGTGAAGAATATTTGGAGAATAATCAGGAGGAGAAAATTTTGATAATTATTTCTTCTCACCTAAGAAGCAGCCTTACTCATTTTAAGAATAAATGCCACAGGTAAACAAGCAAACTGATCCATGTGATGTTGAAGCTATTGTATTAGGAAAATCAGGCACAAATAAAGTAGCTAGCAGAATTTGTTAAAATAATCAAAGAAGATGAGAAACTTGAAATTGCAATTCGCTTTTTTGAATTTAATTAGGTAATTCCATTGTGATAATTCCATACATACATCAATATTACTTTGAACAAGTTTACCTGCTCTATAAATTTCCCCTTCTTCTCTCTTGCTCCCCTTAAATTTTAAATATTGATGATTGTTTTACCAGTGTCAGTAGATGAATGAATGAAATGAATAAAAAATTGTTCCCTCCCCCCCCAGTATCATTAAAATGGAAGTCAAGGTAGTTAGATCGCCTACTGGAATCAAATGCGGCAGAATTTAGAAAGTCATAGGGTCTCATACTTGGGGAACTCATTGTTTTCAATGTTGTGATGCCTTAGAATTTTAAACAGGTTGTTCTTTGGAGATCTTGTAAGGTTGGTATGGATTTTGATGTCTTAGATGTCACAGTTTTCTCTGAAAAGTGAAATGTCAGCTAGGTAAAAATAATTGTCCGGACTGCCACAGAAAACTTGCTGTCCATTCTCACATATTTTCTCTGAATGACAGGGAAAATGACTTATGGGTGTTAATGGATTTGGATGCTAGGAGCAGCCCCGCTCCCCAGAGTCTTGGGCATGCTAATCTAGTACTCTACCACATTACTACTGAGCCAAATACCTATCCCCTAGGAATGTGGTTGATAAGATACTGATAAAACTTGATTGGCATTGGCAAGGAGAGTTGAAATATCTGGGTGTGTATAACCCTGCTTCCAGAAGATGGGATGGGGTAGAGGACATCGAGGAAGAGAGGGAAGGAGTGGGGTGGTGGGTGGATGTAGTCAGTCACTCCTCATGTCTTTAGGCAAACTGAAAAACTGTTTAAGTCACGCTGGACTATGAAGATTCAGGGTATCACATTCATTTCAGGTTTATCTGAATGATTGGAATGAATAAATTACACTAAGAAATTAAATAATTTTTTTTTTTTTTTTTTTGGTTGTGGGGCTTGAACTCTGGGCTTGGGCGCTGTCCCTCAGCTCTTCAGCTTAAGTGCTTTACAACTTGAGCCAAAGTGCCACTTTTGGTTTTCTGGTGGTTAATTGGAGATAAGTCTCCATGGACTTCCCTTGTCCAGGCTGGCTTTGAACTGCAATCCTCAGGCCTCAGCCTCCTGAGTAGATAGGATTACAGGTGTAAGCCACTGGCGCCTGGCAATGATTTTTTTTGTTTGTTTGTTTGCCAGTCGTGGGGCCTGAACTCTAGGGCTGCACTCTGTCCTTCAGCTCTTCAGCTCAAGGCTAACACCCTACCACTTGAGCCACAGCACCACTTGCAGCTTTTTCTGCTTATGTGGTGATGAGGACTCGAACCCAGGGCCTCATGCATGCAAGGCAAGCGCTCTACCACTGAGCCACCTTCCCAGCCCCCCGGCAATGATTTTTATCTGTAGACATGGAACAAGAACTAATGATGTAGATGAGGGGGATTCCAGGAGAAGCCAAAGACTGGAAAAGGGAGAGGCCAAAAGACTGGACTGTATATTTCTTTTTTTCTTTTTCTTTTTTGTTAGTCATGGGGCTTGAACTCTGGGCCTGGGGCCTGTCTCTGAGCTTTTCAGCTCAAGGCTAGGGTTCTACCTCTTGAGTCACAGTGCCACTTCTGGTTTCCTGATGGTTAATTGGAGATAAGAGTCTCATGGACTTTCCTGCCCAGGCTGGCTTTGAACGGTGATCCTCAGATCTCAGCCTCCTGAGTAGCTAGGATTATAGGTGTGAGCCATCAGTGCCGGGCCTTATGGTGCATTTCTAAGTGATGAAGTTGGAATCTGATCTCACCTAACAACAAGGAGAATAAAATCAGGAATAAATACTCATGTTGTCTGTAGGAGAACACAGATAACATCATAAAGGGACTGGAAATGAATGGTCAATAAATACTCTGACTTCTGTTGTCAGAACTCTCCCCTTGGAGACAAGGCCAGAGGGTGAATTTAGATGGTTCCTGGCCCAAGCAGACCATCAGCAGACAGGGGCAATCACTCCACACCTGACAAAAATAACACTGCTGTCTAAGCTTGGAATTGAAGTGCTGAGTGAGGGATGGCAGCAGTGTGCTAGGTACCCAACAACCGTCTCTGTGAACCCAGTTCTTCAAGATCTTGCTTTTGGTATTCAATTACTAAAAAGTTGTGTTGTCCCCAACAATAGTATTATTTATTCCTGTTGAGAGGAAATTCTATATTGTTACAAGCCATGGATGTGACTGTGTTGTTAGTTCCAAAGCAAGAAAAGGGTTAGCCATTCTGAAAATTGGCCAATGATTTGGCAATACTCTCTTTTGGACTGTAAGACTGAGATGGGATATGGCCTAACAATTGGCAAAAAGCAAATAAACACAGTGGTGTTGGATCTGACTATGGCCATGAAACCTTCAGAGACTCAACTGTCAACAATTCTTGGGATTGGCTCCTGCTCAACAGTACTCTCTTCTACTCGCCATAAAATGTGCATATCATCTTGGAATACAGAGAAGGTAAATTTACTTCTAAACAGTTCTTCACAAGTTGCCTAAAAGAATAATAACTCATATTGTCAGAAC